ACCTACATGGGGAAACATGAGTTTGGATATGTGGGAGACCTCCCAAAGCAGGAACTGTTGGCAGCAGAGTACCTGAGGGACTGTGCAGAGCACCCCCTGCACCCAGTGCTTCTCGGTGGGCTGGGAGAGACCTGCTGAGCACAACAGCTCCTTGTAGCCCTGTGAACACTGGCTGTGAGGTCACTTGTGTCACAGCACCTGTCTGGACAACAGCAGGAAGGCAGAGCCTCTGAGGTCACAAAGGCCCTCAGAAAGCTGTCCCCAACAGGGTGACACATTTGGTGAGGCCAGGGGAAAGCTGGGAGAATAACGGTGGGGGATTTGGGAGAGAGAAGAGGGGTTTCGCTAACAGAAAGGAAAGATTTTAAAGATTTAAGAGGGATTCATGTAAGGCGATGCTTCTGCAACGCTCACAGGGAACATCGTCATGTTGTGTCCTGTAATATTTCTAACTAGTAACCCGAAAATCTAGTGCTGTCCTTAATTGCTTTCTCTCTCCCTTTAAGGCATCCATTGCTCTAATCCCCAACCCTCATTTCCTAATTCAAAGTCAGACCCCAAGCATATTACTTGTTACCATGAGTCACAGAATCATAGAATCATAAAAACACAGGTTGGAAAGAACCTACAAGATCATCTAGTCCAATCAATCCTCCTATCACCAATACTACCCCTAAGCCTACTACACTAAATCATATCTCAAAACACCTGAGACAGGTGCTTCTTGGACACTGCCCAAGGATGGTGACTCCACCACCTCCCTGGGGAGGCCGTTCCAGTGCCTGACCACTCTTTGAGAGAAAAAGTTTTTCCTGATATCTAAACCAATATCTCCCCAGGCTCAACTTGTGGCCATTTCCTCGAGTGCTATCATTAGTTATCAGAGAGAAGAGGCTGACCCCCTCCTCATCACAGCCTCCTTCAGGAAGTTGTAGATTGCAATGAGGTTCCCCTGAGCCTCCTCTTCTGCAGACTAAACAATCCCAGCTCACTCAGCCCTCTTCACAGGACCTGTGCTCCAGACCCCTCACCAATTTTGTTGACCTTATCTGGACATGCTCCAGGGCCTCAGTGTCCTTCTCAGTAGTGATGGGCCCAAAACTGAACACAGTACTCCAGGTGTGGCTTCACCAGAGCTGAGTACAGGGGGATGATCACCTCGCTGCTCCCACTGGCTACACTATTTCTAACACAGGCCAGGATACCATTGGCCTTCTTTCCACCTGGGCACTGCCGGCTCATGTTCAGCCAAACATCGATCATCACTCCCACGTCCTTTCCTCTTCACAGCCACTCTGTCCCAAGCCTATAGCATTGCATGGGGTTGTTGTGGCCAAAAGTGCAGGATCTGGTGCTTAGCCTTGTTAAACCCCCCCATCCCATTAGCTTCAGCCCAGCCTATCCCAATCCCTCTGAAGGACCACCTTAGCCTCAGGCAGATCAACATTACCTCCCAACATGGTGTCGTCTGCAAACTTACTGAGGGTACATTCAAACCCTCATCTAGGTCATCAATAAAGGTATTATACAAGCTAGGCTCCAGTACCAACCACTGGGGGACACCACTTGTAACGGGACGCCAACTGGACTGAACTCCATTAACCACAACCCGCTGGGCATGGCCCTCCAGCCAGTTCTTGACCCAGAGAAGACTATAAACAGCCAGGAGAGATGACCCAACGGGATTAAATAGATGCTCCAATAGGTGTTCCAGCCCACCATCCCACTACAAAAGCACCTCCCAGCCTGCAGCAGAGGAGCCTGCTGGGAAAGACCTGGAGGGCTGTGGGGACACACCGCAGGAGCTGGTGCCAAGTCCTGCCCAAGGGTCCAAGACATCCCCGTTCACCTCTTGCAACTTAGGTATCTCTGTCCATGGGGCTGGGGGCAGGCATCCTTAGGCTCCGTGGGGGCCCAAGGCAGCAGAAGGTGGGCACTGCAAGGGAGTGTCTCATGGGGCTTCCCAGAGATCCACTTTGTCTGGAAACTGCCTGTGGCTGGCAGGATGGAAATGTCTCTGTCAGTAGGAATAGTGTCAAGGGACCAGGGGCTCTGTCAGCCCAAAGCCAGACCCCGATCCTGCTGGCTCTAAGATGTGCCCCTTCCCCTGCTGGATCTTTGAGCTCTTCTCCCCTCCATCAGCCTCAGGGAGACACCATGACCTGGGCAGGGAAGCACTGGACCTGGGGCAAAGCCCCAGAGGGTTTTTAATATGAGGAATACCATACACACAGCATAAAAACAGGGGAATACCAAGAGGGGAAATACCCAGCCCTGTCTGTCCATGGGGGAGCTCAGCTGGGAGAGGGAAGGGCCAGTCCTGTCTGGGACAGAGAGCTGCAGTGTGTGGGGAATGAATCCGTCCTCTCCTTCTGCCCCACGGGGACACCAGGGACCAGCCCTGCACCCACAGCAATGGCACTCATGTCACCTGCACACGTAAGGACTTGGGGTGGGATGAGTGCCCAGGGGCTGTGAGTTGGGGCGGGAGAAGTGTGGGCACTGGGCTGTGTGGCGGTGGAACAGGAGTAGAAGTGCTGGGTGCGCAGCTAAAAGAGTGAGCGGAGGAGAAAGGCACGTTGTCCCTTTGGCCTCTCCTGCAGACTCCTGTGGGAGCAAGAGCACAAATGTGGCCTCTCTCACCCTCCTTTGTCCCTGAGTACACAGGGTTCAGGCTGGTGAACGGCAGCACAGCGTGTGAGGGCAGGGTGGAGGTGGAGGTGCTGGGGACATGGGGGACCCTCTGTGCCTCCCGCTGGGACCTCTCGGACGCCCACGTTCTGTGTCAGCACCTCGGCTGTGGCTTTGCTGAGTCCATTCCTGGAGGAGGGCATTTTGGGAGAGGAACCGGCCCCGTCTGGAGAGACTCGTTCCACTGTGACGGGACTGAAGCCCACCTGGGGCAGTGCCCGGTGACTGCCCTGGGGGCCTCGCCGTGCTCCCAGGAGAACGCTGCTGCTGTCATTTGCTCAGGTGAGTGCTGGGCAGTGCTGCAAAGTCCATTTGCCCCTGGTGTGTGACACGGCCACCCAAGCTTTGGACCCCAGGCAGTGCCTGGCTGAATTCTGCTCTCACCAGGCCTAACTCACCCCATGCCCTGCGGTTGGTGGGTGGAGGGAGCCGGTGCGACGGGCGCGTGGAGGTCTTCCAGCATGGGACGTGGGGCAGAGTCCTGGATGAGCAGTGGGACATGCAGGAGGCCAGCGTGGTGTGCCGGCAGCTGCAGTGCAGAGAGGCAGAGGCAGCCTACACCCCCGTGAGGGCCGAGCGAGGACGAGGACCTGTGGGGCTGTGTGGGGTGCGGTGTGCAGGGCACGAGGCTGACCTGAGCCTCTGCAACACCTCCCTGCCTGAGAGCAAACCGGCAGCAGGGATCATGGAGGAGTGGGGGTCGTGTGCCGGGGTGAGTGGTGCTGCACGTCCCCAGTGTGAGGTCCAGGAGGGCAGCCAGCCCCTGACGCCGGGTTCTCCCCGCTGCAGGGAGCCGCGGGTCCGGCTGGTGGACGGGGCGGGCGCTGTGCCGGGAGAGTGGAGATCTACTACCAGGGGCACTGGGGCACCGTCTGGACGACGCCTGGGACCTGGCCGACGCCGCCGTCGTTTGCCGCCATGCTGGGCTGCGGAGGGGCCCTGGAGGCAGCCGGCTCTGTCGTTTGGGGAGGGCTCCGGGCAGATCTGGCTGGATGGCGTCAACTGCTCGGGGCCGAAGCTGCTCTCTGGGACTGCCCTGCCGAGGCCTGGGGGCAGCACGACTGCAGGCACAAGGAGGACGCAGGAGTCTCTGTCAGGTCTGTGCTGTGGAGTGGTCTGGGAACTGGGGCCAGTAAGGCCGGGTGAGGGTCAGAGCCAGGTAGGGCCAAGGCCATCAGTGGCTGCCATCCAAGGATGTCCCTGGGCCTTTCCTCCTTCCAGAGTTCATGGCCCTTGAGGCTGGAGAACAGCGACGGCTGCTCCGGCGCCTGCAGGTTTTCTACAACGGGACGTGGGGCAGCGTTTGCTCCAACTCCATGACCACCGAGACGGTGTCACTGGTGTGCAAGGAGCTGGGCTGCGGGAATGAAGGAGATCTGGAAACAGATTCTAACTATGCCGAGCTGTCTGGCACCGGTGCTGGATCACGTGGAGTGTGGGAAGAGCAACAGCTCCTTCTGGCAGTGTCCCTCTGCTTCCTGGGATCCGCAGTCGTGTACTGACAGCCGAGAAGAGACCAATCACCTGCAATGGTAAATCTGAGCATCAAGCACCAGGTCCTGTTCCCCACTGGGTATGGTGAAATGTCAGAGAAGGAACCCAGAGGGGCTTTGACTTCCTGCATTAGACCCTGTTGCTACTGGTGCACAAAGGTGACTTCAGCTCTTGGAGCCACCCATGTCCACCAGCAGCAGTCAACAGCCGGGCTGCCAGCAGCTCCCTGGGGGATGCAGAGGCAACTCCACAGGCGAGGTCTCGGAGGAGACCATGCAGGGCTTTCAGGAGTCCTCCCTCCTGGGACAGCCTCCTGTCTGCTCTGTGAACCAGGGACCCTGTGGGGCAGCACTCAGTGTCCCTCCCACAGTGCCGTGGGTGTGTCCCTGAGATGAACACGGGTTCTGCTGCTGCCCTGACCCAGGCAGCATGGGGAGTGTGAGCAGAGGTCAGCTCTGCTCTGCTTCTGCAGACCCAGAACAGCCCTTTTCAGCCCAACTTCTCTTTCCTTTGGGACATGGACAGAAAGGCCGCAGGTGGCTGCATGCCCCAATTCACCAGCTGCACAGGTAGGGAGCTGCCCCTGCACGTGCCCCCCTCACCTGGCAGGGCTGTCCCAGCTGTCCTGATGCCATGGGACATCGCTGCCTCCCCAGACAGGGAGAAGATCCGTGCTGTGGGAGGGAAGGAGGCTGCTCGGGCAGAGTGGAGATCTGGCACCGCGGCACCTGGGGGACACTGTGTGACAATGCCTGGGACATGCGGGATGCCGAGGTGGCGTGCAGGCAGCTGGGCTGTGGCCCGGTCTACCCTGGGCCAGGCTGCTGCTGGAGAGGGGACGGGCCCCATGTGGCTGATGGAGTGCAGGGGGACGGAGCTGTCTCTGCAGGACTGCTGGGCCCAGCCAGGGGACAGCGCTGCCTGCCAGCATAAGGCAGATGCGGCTGTGCATTGCTCAGGTGAGCAGTGGGCTGGGAGACATGGCTGGGGGCTTGGCAAGGAGCTGGCTTGGGCATCTGCCCTGACTGGATCCTGCATGCGTGCGCCTGAGCAAGGGTGTCCCTCAGAGTGGGGAGGCTGGTGGTGGGTGGGGAGCAGCCTCTGTGGGGCTGATGTCCCAGAACATCCCCTGGGCTGCCTGCTTCCTAGCAGCCCAGAGCAGTGGTGCTGGGCCTGTCCCTGCCACCCTGCCAGCCCCACAGGAGGGACAATTCAGGTGGCACATGTTGGGGCCATCTGCCAGGGAGGCTGCCTGGTGCCACAGCCCCAGCCTCTCAGCCCAGCTCTCCTTCTGCTCCCCTGCAGCTGCACCCAGACAGCAACACCCCCCCCACAAGCAGGTAAGCTGTCCTTCCCCTGGGCTGGGTCTGTCCATGCAGCTGTGACCCACAGCCAGGGGAAGGGGCTCCTGTTGGGCTGTGAGACTCCCAGGAAATCAAGAGAGCTGGGAGAAGTCTGTGATGGACCCAGCAGGGTGGGAGCTGCCCCATCACCCAGCCCTGTCCCCCCAGCCCCTGCTCCTTGTGTGGTCAGGAGTGGCATGTCCTGCCCCCAACTCTCCTTGTCTGATGCTGCCCCTGCCATGTTCCTGTCCCATGCAGATCCCCCACAGGGCCGTCCAACCACCAGCAGTGAGGGACTCTCGGTGCCTGTCGTCATCTGCATCATCCTGGGGGCCCTCCTCTGCCTGCTCCTGGCCCTCCTGGCTGGGCAGGTGCGAAGCGCCAGGGCTCGGCGCAGAGGTGGGTCTTCCCCAGTGGTCCTGGGGGGGAGATGCCTCCTGGCAGGGCTGGGGGTGCTGGTGTGTGTCTGGGGCACAGAAACAGAGCCGTGTGCTGCCTCCTGCCCCATGTGCTGCCCCACTGACTGACAGACCATGGGGACCAACATCAAGGGGTGGAGAGAGCCCAGACCTGAGGCATCAGTTCTGGGTGAGAAGAGAAATGTGAGAGCTGGGCTGGGTGAGACGGGGAGGATGCACTGCTGGCAGTGCTCTGGGCAGCATCTGGCAGGAGGAGCATGGGCAGCGGAGTCCATCACCGTGGTGTCAGCCACCCGCAACAGGGCAGGCTGTGCTATTGCTGTGTGGGGCAGAGATGGAGCAGCTCCATGGGAGGGAAATGAGGGAATTGGTGCAGGTCTGCACTGGGACATGACCCAGGGAACAAAGGGGCACAAGGGCTGTCTCCAGAGGATGGTCGAGGCTGACTCTGTCCCCAGACCATCTCCATGGGGATGCTGCCCTCCCTGGGGATGTGGCCTCAGTGCCAACACAACACAGGGGCTGTGCTGGGGGACAGCCCTGTGCTGGCCTAGGGAATGGGGCTGGGGGAGTCCCAGTGGGGTCTGTCCCTCTCTGCCCATGCCCAACCGCCCTGCTTCTGTCCCCAGGCTCTCGGGAGAGCCTGGGAGCCCTTCCCTGAGGCCGTGTACGAGGAGATCGCTTACAGCGTGGCGTGGGAGAAGCAGCGAGGTTCAGTCTCTCAGGTGGGTGCAGGTAACTCGGCTCGTGGGTATTTGCCAGCCAGCGCCACTTGCCAGGTCTAATTGGCTGGTCTGGAGCATCGTTCCAAGAGCCTCCACGTTCATCCCAGGGGGCCTCTCTGCTTTCTGAACCAGCAGGGGCTTCCCGGCAGTTGAGCCCTTGAGAATTGCTGAACCCCCATGCACCCCTCTGTGTCCACCCCAGAGTCGACCACATCGAGCGGGCACCCGCCCTGCAGCCCTGACTCTTAGAGGTCCTGCCGCTGAGCCACCGGACATGAGGGAGGGCGGGCAACCCAGGGATCAGAGGGGGGGGGAGAAGGGCTCCATTTCTCCTCACCTGCAGACAGACCAGACTGACAGCAGTGCCACCGAGTGTTAGCATCAGAGCTGGAAGCATGAAGGCTCTGCTGTGACCCTGACACCAGCAGCATGTCAGCCCTGTGTCCCCACACACCCTCCCATCCTCTGCTCTGCAGGACATCTCTTCTCATTGCCACCACCTTCCCTCTCCTTTCAGATGTCCCTGTCCTGCCCGGAGGTTACCCAGCAGATGGCTATGATGATGCTGGGGAGGTTTCTGACCCTGGGGAGGATCCTGTCCCTGGGCAGGGGGACTGGGAAGTGCCCAGGACACCAGAGGAAGGAGATGGGCGCAGAGATGCAGCCACAGGTGAGAGGTGAGCAATGCAGCACTGCCACTTCCTAGGTGCCAGCCCCAGGCCTAGGAGAATCCATGCCATATTGAAGGCCTGACCATCCATGGAGAACCTGTCCTGGGAGATTTTGTGGGGGCTGGGAGAATGGGCCGAATGTCTCAGGCTGGTGAGGACGAGGAAGGTGATAAACAGCCCCGAGGGGCACCCCACAGGCCCAACCACAGCAGCCTGCCTTGATGCTTACAGGGGGAAGCCTGCACTCCCGGAGAAGTGCTGGGGTCCCTGGAGCTGAGGGAGACACCTCGTCACCTTTCCTGGGGACCACGGGCTATGACGATGTTGAAGAGGTGTCTCTGGCATGTCCCCATGAGGACACCCAGGATGTGACACCACGAGCCCCATGCACAAGAGTTCCAGAAGCCCCAGGCCAGCAGAGCCCAGCCTGCTGAGCAGCTGGGTGCAGCTGGGAGGGAGGAGAGCTCAGTGCCACTGGGAGAGCCGTGAGTGCCAGGGAATGGTCTCCCTTTTCCAGCAGTCAGCAGACACACAT